ATTCATATGCTAATTTTGCTAGAAACAAAATGTTTATATAGATCAGTATAAACTTAAACAACAAATAGTCTGATAGCACTTTAAAGACTAACTCGGCTACCCTCTGAAGCCTATATAGATCAGTGGTTCCCAACTGCCAGGCTGTGGCGACTCTGAGGGCTGGGGCTGGGATACATCACCCAGCTCCTCCCCTCCTTCTGTGGTTGTTAGGTGGGGCAGGACATGCCACTCCCATCAACCAACCAGTGCTGGGCAGGAGCAGAGTCTCTTTCTGGCCATGGAAGAGGATTTTGCTGTGTGGCGTAAGGGCCATGCAGAGCCTGGCACGGCAGCCTTAAAGCAGCTGCATAGGCAGCAGCACAGGGCTAGGTAAGAGGGGCAAGGCAGGCATGGGAGGGCTCTAAGAGGTGGGGCTGACACTGTGGCCTGGGGGGAGGGGTATTACTGGGGAGCTCTAAGGGGTGGGTGGCTGACACTAGGGAGCACTGGAGGTCTGGGGTGGGGAGCTGGCATTGGGGAGGTTCTGGGGGTGGGGCTAATATTGGGGACTGGGGCTGGCACTTGGCAGACTTGGTGTGAGGGTTGGGTGCAGTGAGGCTCTGGAAATGGGAGGCTGGCAGTGAGGCTTTTGGGATGGGGGACTGGCACTGGGGGCTCTGAGGGTGGGAGCCTGACATGGGGGGTTGGGTGCCGGGGACTCTGGGGTCAGTGGCTGGTGCTGGGGAGTAGTGGAGGGGTGGGGAGCTCTAGGTGTTAGGGCTGGCACTGGGGGCTGGGGCTTTTGGTGGACCGATAACATTTTATTTGCATAGTCAAATTGCGAATGGGTTTGCTGGCCTGCGGTTTGACAGGCTGGAAACCACTGATCTAGACAACCCCTGCGAAAGTCATTCAACTTGCATGAAAGCTCAGTGACCCAGAAGAGTGAAGTACTGTGTCCCAAGTCAACATGTGACACCCTGCTCTTGGACTATTCACTGAGGAATAAGAAATTTATTTTCACTTTCATGCAGTATAGTCCTTTTGTCTGGGGTCATAGCAATAAAAGTGGCTAACACCTGT